CCTCTCTCTCTCTCTCTCTCTCTCTTTCTCTCTCTCTGCGTGTCCGTGAAGATCGAGCTCACGGTCGGGAGCAGGAGTCGGGAGCCTTGCGAATGGGAAGGGAGGAGATGTCGATTGGAAGAGGTCGGTATGGAGCTCGGGATTCAAGTGGAGATCGTGGGAGAGGAAAGAGTTTGCGATCGTGTAGAGTCGGAGAGAGCAGCAACCGAAGAGGAAGAAGTCATGAGAGATCTGCGAAGTCGAACAGAGACGAGAGAGGGAGCGTGAGCGGGAGTAAGAGAGAGCTCGGGATCAAGTAAGTGCCGAAGCTCTCATTTGGGTCGGTATTTAACGACTCCGAGAGAGGCGCGATCGAGGCAGTTTCACGCGATTTACGGGATCTGATCGCAAACGGCGCCGAATTGGCAGGGAATCAGCGGGATTTGAGCGAAATTCCTGGAGAAGTTTGGCATGTTTCGTGGATCCAATGGTTACAACAGGTACGCATTCGTTTCATTTCCTTTTGGATATTATATGGAGGTTAACAATATTATATTATATATATAACAACATGAAATAAAAAAAAATAAAAAGAAAGAAGAGTGGTGAGAGGATTTCAACAGGTATGAAGACTTGAAGGAAGTTCGGTTTGATTCGGTCCCCTGAAGTCCTTGGCCGTCGAGTTCTATCGTCATCATCACACAAATACTTAAAAATAAATAGACCGATGACGCACAGAGTCCGGAATCACACAATCTAAAAATGGTATTTTTCGGAGCCCACAACATGCTTATAGTCAAATCTAGCGGCTTGACGAGACGAATCTAACGAGACCAATCTTTATAATGAATTTATTTTCTTACAAAAAAAAATAGAACATCTAAAAACTCAAATTTTTTTTTTTTTGAATTTATATTATTATTATTATTATTTAATTAATTAAAATTTTGCCCACCCTGAAAAAAGGAGCTGGATCCGCCACTGCACAGGTGAACTCAAAATTCTATCTGCATCTTTCTTTTTCAAGAACCAAAATCAAAATTTTCATTTTTGAATCAAGGTCAGCTCAGCCAAACCCAACTCGTTATCACCCTTAATGCAATAAGGATCACCTTGCTGTGTCAAACAGTACAAATAATATCTGCAGACAACAACAGGTTTAATTAATTAAAATTTTGCCCACCCTGAAAAAAGGAGCTGGATCCGCCACTGCACAGGTGAACTCAAAATTCTATCTGCATCTTTCTTTTTCAAGAACCAAAATCAAAATTTTCATTTTTGAATCAAGGTCAGCTCAGCCAAACCCAACTCGTTATCACCCTTAATGCAATAAGGATCACCTTGCTGTGTCAAACAGTACAAATAATATCTGCAGACAACAACAGGAAGGGGGAAGTATACACATGCAGGACCCAACATAGCATGGCATGCTAGCCGCTTCTGAAAATATTTGGACACAGCTCACCTAGGTAATAGGAATTAGCTATTAATATCTCTATGGTGCCCGTGAGGTTCAACAAGCGCCAAACAATACTTAACAAAACAAGTTTTTACAAAAATATACCAAAAAGATGATCAAAACAGAAGCAAACCCCACACCACCACATCCCCGTAGAAATAGATTATTCCTATCAACTCTTTTTTCGCTTCAATATACAAGCTTCAAGCCGTTATAAAGGCCAAGGAAAAGCAAGTAAGACAGCATTTCCCAGCAAAGCCTTATTGGCATATGGAAGATTTGCACCATTGTTTTCTTCAAAGCAAGCCTTTAATCCCCAAGTCTTCCAAAAAACATGTTTTATAAATAAAAAAAACAAATAAGACAATCAACGATCATACAGTTAAAAACCTAAATAATAAAATAACACAGAAGAATTACTTTTCGGCTATTTGCAGAAGACACAAGTTCATCTTGAAATTGGGCTTCCAGCTGCCTAGACTTCTTCTCAGACGTTACCAGACTCTCCCTTGCATCTTCCTGTATGGACAAAAAATGAGTAGAGCAGAAAATTTGAGAAAAATATAGTGTAAGAAATTATAATCAAGACCAGTTATTAAGAAATGTCTAACATGAGTCCATACCAGCTTAGATCTTAGCATGTCTACTAGTAAACGGCTATCCTTCTCTGACTCCTGGGTGATCAAGGAAATAAAAAGATCAACAGCCTGATAATGTTGAAACCTTTCTCAGCTGTATATCAACAAAATAAGTAACACTTAACCTGAAGTTTGGTGATCAATTCTTGCTGTTCTCTATTTTGCCTCAAGTAAACATCAGCCTGTCGTTTAATCTCCTCCTGAGCTTCTACATGTGCTTTTTGTATGGCAGACTTTAGATCCATTTCTGCTTTTTCCCGCTCTCCCCTTCTCTGATTTCTTTCTTCATCTAATTGTGCATCTAGTTCTGAAATGGTTACATTCTGACTGCAACATATTTTCCAATCCAACAAAAAGTAAATTCAGTGGAATAAGCCCATTAAAAGAACGAACTGATTAAAATCATAAAAAAACTTTATTTCCATCTACTTCTCATTGACAAATCTGGCTTTTCTTTAACCATTGTTTATGCTCCTTCAGATGAATTTGAGCAGCTTTTATTTCAAAATGAACTTTTTGTGGTTGATAGGGACAGCTAAATGGATGCTTTGCAGGGATTTCATTGATACCATTTATTTGGAGGATAGATCCTCTACCGGTATTAAAATCCCTTCTTACTTATTAAATTGCTCAATGAATTTCACTTCATCGAAATTCCTCTTTCAAGTAAAAAATCTACTTAATCAAATTATAAAAAAGGTGAAATAATGGCTAAAATTGATCAATCTATCATTTCACGCTTCTTGCAAGGTCACATTTTTATAATTGCCTAAAAGTTTCCACTAAATCCATCACATAGCCCTATGAAAATCTTATTCTTTTTATTCCAAAGAGGATTTAAAGAGATGAAGGATAATTGATGGACATTCCTCTTTTTCAAGCAGGAAGTTCACTTGATCCAATAATGAAAAGATAAAATCATAGATAAACTAGCTAATTTGCTCATCTCATAGTTCTTAGATGATCATTTTTCTATATTCTTCAAAGTTTCTGGTAGACTACTCTCAAATCACACTATCATATCCTCTTTTCATCTGATCTGGATCACGTACCAAAGCATCACATCTTCCTATTTTTGAATTTCTAATTTTGCAAAGAGGTTCAAAGAGATGAAAGATAATTAATGAATAACCTCATCATTTCAGGTGAAGGTGCATTTTTACAAAGCTTAAACTCATTAGGAGACTAAAAGCTTAAAAAAAATCATTTACACGTTCTTTCCAATGAAGAGAAGACAAGTGTGAATACCAAACTAAATTATTATAAAAACAATGTTGAATTGGATCGTACCATACAAGATCTAGAGAACTATGAACTGGGCCAAAATTGCCTATAGAACAAGCTTAAAGAGGAGGAAATCTACTTGCACGTAAGATCTAAGGTTAAATAATTCCTGGTAACAATGCTTCATGCTTTCAAAAACTTGCTAATAGAATAGAAAATTTAATTTCATCCGATATATTAAGCAAGGTAATACTCTGCTAACAAATTTTGAGGATATCAATTTTTTTTATACGAGTTGTTTTATAAAATCAGCTAAGTTAGTTTACAAGATTGATTTCCGTAAGTGTTACCCAAAGGATAACCCCTCTCAAAGAAAATTTAATGTCATATAAAACGGTGGCCTTCCGATGACCCAACTAGGAAAGTAAATATATTAGATTTGACTTATATTAAAAAAGATAGATGTAGGCCCTAAAAGACTTAGAAAATATTAGAAATGACCTTTCTTTATCAAATTTAAATGAGAATTTAACTTTTAACAGGGCACAATAAAGAAAAAGGATTCATGTAGACCCCATATAGTGGGATAAAGGCTTGATGTTGTTTTTGTTGGTGTAATAAAAAAATAATCAATTTATATTATTTTTCTTAATTCATATAATTGAATAATAAATTTGAATATCTTAAATAAAAGTAAAAATTCTTATTCTAACATTTATTGATATTATCAATAGTTATTATATTTAATTCTGATATAAGGATGATTTTTTAGAATATTATTTTGAAAAATAGAGAAAACACATATACACTTGTTCCTTGAATTTCAGAAAACACGCACATAAATTTTTAAAAATAGGGAATAATTGAGTTCCATTAAACCTGTTAAAAGGAAAAAAAAATTATCAAAACAGATGCCCCAAAAGCCTTTAGTTATCATTGCTTCTGGAAACAACCAATCTACGATTCACAGTAAATAAAAATTGCTATTCGCATACCTATTAATTATCTCATCCGCATCAGCACGTGATTGCAGGGATGCATGAAGTCTTTCATTAAGATCCTTTATGGAATTCTGTAATTCGGCGGATGTGGCTTTCAGATCATCAAGTTCTTTCTGCTTTGCTTCTAGTACATTCAGCAGATCTTTAATCTGATCATCATATGAATTAGAGACGGTGTCCTTCAGCCCTTTCAGCTCCTACATTAGGCATTTATCATTGAAAATTTTGAGTCATGGCCATTGTCGAAGCTATAACTTAACAATTTCTTCTTATTTTTTCTCAAGAGAAGCCAGAGATTATTAAAGTTGGCGACCAGGTCATACAAAAAAACGCATGTTGATGCTTGTTAGCAATAATATCAGAAACATATCAAATTTAACTTTAGGAAACAAAATGGCTATAAAGCAAAAACAAAAGTATCAGATAGCCTCATCCTGCTCCTGTAACCCAAAAAAATCAGAATCTAGATTGTTACTGTGTATTTTGGTAACTTAACAACCAACAAATTGATTAACAAGGAAAACCTAAATAAGACCAAACATAGATCTCTAGTATAACGACCCTCATTGAAAAAAAAAATAGAAAAAAAAAATAGTATAACAAGCCTCAAACAAGAGGCTTTGCATAGTCCCAAGCAACAGAGGTAGCCAATTTAATCCAGATGTTTGCTAGATGTCTTTGAATATTCAATATGTTATGATATGAATATTGCATAAAGTACATTCGGTAAGTTTCAAGTTAAAGGGTACAATTGCAATTACAAGACAAATTAGAAAGATTTGTAAATCAATTGCATACATTTTCATGACGGGCATTTATCGCCCTGTTTTCACTGTGCAAAGCCTCAATGGTAAGAACATGAGATTCCAATTGTTGCCTAAGTTCCTGTTGCAAATCCAATATGTAAAATAGCACAAATAAGAAAAGAAAATCAACAAAAAAACAAGCATAACCCTTCAAACCAGTCAAAGCTGGAAATTTATTATGAAAATTACCATGTTTGAACGTTGCAGGCTTCGAACATCATCTAGTGATATAGGTCCATCAGGTGCGCCAATGCCAATACCTTTTAGCCTTTTGCTCTCATTGCTAAAGTCCTCTACAAATAAACAATTGGTGAAAAAAAAAAAAAAAAACTGTTTACGACAATTTAGTACTTGACAGACTTGGCAAGCAATAGAAACAGTTGCATGCAATAAAAAAAGGAAAATATTAAGTAACAATCATTATTCATAAGCTCATTTTTCTACACTCATAGACGTAGGTGAAGCTCAGGAAATGTTTGAATGACGGTTATAACACTAGTTTCAAGACCAGAAGGCAACTATAGCACCGACACTAGAAACAGAATGGCTAAAAAGGAGTAGCAGCAAGATCAACATCTCAATGGCTTGGAACACTGCCTTCGTTTAGTTACAGTTGACAGTTTAATCTGTTAAAAAAATAAATTATCAAAAATTGCATAATCCGTTGACGTATGTCAAGTTAATCTACTAAATTGAATGATAGATAACATTCTTAATCTAATTATTCCCGAATTCTGCTTCACATTAAGAAAGATTGTCTGGATAAACTGTGTAGAATTAAGTGATTAAAGGATAATCCTGATGCAATTTATTGAAATGTAGACTAAAAAATGAACATACAATAACAAATAACAATGATGATAGCTATTGGATACACAGTGATGAGGGCATCCGATCATAGAGAGTTTATCACAGATGGGGCCGACGATCTAAGGCCATGATTGAACTGCTTTACTTTTGAGTCATGAGTTGTATTAAATTTATTATTATGTTTGTATTGAGTTCATTAATGCATATTTTCCATTTGTACCCTCACTTGAGGGAGTAGTCCTATATTAAGCCCTAGGAGCATATTTGTCTTTTGTTTTCTTCATTGTATGTTGGCTATTTAAAGCCGCCTCCTCATCTTTTGAGGGGATGATGATGATTATGATGAGATTTCTTTTTCCACTTGTGTTCTTAGAGAGCATGTGAGCTTATGTGAGAGTTGAAATCCCTAGGTGAGGGCAACGGAATACCCAACAACCGCAAGAAGCGTCCGGACTCGTGGTATTCTTCCTCCACCATCTTCTTCCTCCTCTCCTCTAATCGGCACTCCCCTTCCTCTAAACTGTCGGCTTCACCCGACTCCACCCAAAATCAACCTCCCCCTCCCATCCAAACGCCAGCCACCATCGCCCTCCTCCCTCCAAACTGACGGCCCTAAGCCCCAACACCACCAACCCTAGCCCCACCTAGCCCAAGCTCCACCACCTCCCATAGCCGTTGGCCTTCCCCTCCAAGCCCTAGCTGTCGTCCACCCCTTGCTCTCCTAAATGTATTAATTTCCTAATTTAGCACATTATTAATTTAGAAGATCTCTTAATTCAAATTCAAATGAATTTAAATTTCAAAACCCTTCCTAATTGATATAAACATATTTTAGGAAGCCTCCCCAATTATTACAAATCTGCAATTAAATTTGATTTGATTCCAATTCCACATTCAACATATGTTGACACATTCAACATATGTGGACACTTTCACATTCCCCCCCCCCCTCCTCCTTTGGCCGGCCCCTCTCCCTCTCTCTTAATTATTTCCTTCTCCAATTGGAACTCCAATTAAGGAGGTAATAGCTGCCCCTCTCCTCTCTCCTCCTCTCTCCTATCTTACCCAAACCAAGCCCTAATCAAGTCTTAATTGGCCGGCCTCCACTTCCCTCCCTTCCCACTTAATATAGGGATTTTGAAATTCAAATCTCCCTCCCCAACCTCCACCAAAATCTGAACTAGCAATAAGAAAACCCCTTCCCCTTACTCTTGGCCGATCCCCCACCCACCTCCTACGCCTAAAATCTTGACTCCAAGTCTGCTGTCCAGAATTTTTGAGTGTTCTATGTTGTTGTCCTGAAATTCCAGCAAGGAGAAATTAGTCATGCCGCTGCTTCAACCCCTCCGATTGTTGTCCAAAGCCTCCCCGTGTTTGTTGTCCATATTTTCTAAGCACGTAAAGTACTAAGGTATTTTATTCTTAAATATTCGTGATTATTTTTGTTAATGATTCTTTGTTTTCTATGATGGAGATGGAGATGATGGAGATGGAGATGGATGCCAAAAGATCATAATCCAAGGATTCAGATTTTTTCTTTGATCTTACCTTACACAAGACTTTTTCTACTCCATAATAATGAAACAAAAAAACTTTATTCTCAAACTCTCTCTCTCTGATTTAAATGAAATGAAAATCATGATCTTGCTATCCTAAAATTTTAGCAACATCCTTTTGTTGTTCAATTGTCCAAAGGTTGTTGTTTGTTGTCAAGAAGTTCCAGTACTCCAAACGAAGGTAAACTCTTCTCCTAATCATATTCCTTCTAAAGTTTTCCCTCAATTGTGGCATCATAAAGGTTGTGCAATTTGTTTCCGCTTAACCAAACATTAAGAGAGTGAGTGAGTTGATCCAATTAGTGAATAGTCTAAATGTTAATTTAAGAATTTCCTTTGAAATTCCCCCATGTTATACTAAACTTGATTGGAATTGATTATTCATTATTCTAACTCTTATCGTGCAATTTGGCCTAAGCTTCAATCACATCATTTTTTGTTTTCAAGATTTGTTTAAATCGCTAAAAGTAAACTTAATTATTGTTACTCTAATTTAAAAGGCATTTAATTTCAACATTGCATAATTACCTACACATTTGCTTCTACATCATTTTGGTAGCAGAGCATGGTTGCATTTAGATGCTTATTAGGATTTTCTTCTTACGTATCTTAGCATCTAAATCGCAACCTGCACGCATCAAAATCACTAGCATGTTAAGCAATTGTACAAACATATTCCAAAGATCCTCGTGATATGAGAGATTGAATGGGGAAATAAGTACGTGATAGAAAGTGGATGTACTTTTCACAAAAATAAGCGGATGAGACACGAAAATTTGAGAAGAAAAATGCCCCAAAATATTTTTTATTGAAAAAACTATAAAGAGAAATGCAATATACAATTGGATCTTCAATTGGAGAGGAAGATTTGGTTCTCCCAAATCCTTAGCCACTAGCTAGAGCCCAAATAATCTAAGAATAAACTAAATTCAGCAAACTCCAAAACATCATCCTGAAATCACCCTATTATTAGCCTTAAATAGGCTCCAATAATTCACTCCCAAATCAGCCTCCTTTCCCTAAATAATTCCCTCTCATATTTGAATTCAAATTAAATTTATTTCTTTAATTAATTCCCTCCCAATTGTAATTAAAACTTCCCTAAACTATCCGCCTTAATTCCTCCTCATTTTCCCTATATAATTCCCTCTTAGATTTTAAATTCAAATTAGATCTCTTGTTTAAATAATTCCCTCTCAGTTGTTTAATCATTCCTAAATAATTCCCCTTTGATTAAGAACCTTCCTAAAAAGCTCCCTCTTTATTAGGAAACTTTATGATTCCCTCTCAATCAAATCGGCCGGTCCATCAGTATTCTACAATGATTGATAGGTACAAAGGAATCTTGCACATGTTGTAAGCCATTAATAGCCTAATAACATCTTTTATATAAGGGAATTCATTTCACATATGGCCTTTTCAAGAACAAACTCCAATGAATGACTACAAAGCATCTTCAACCAGTAAACACAACAACTCAAGATAGAAAAGATGCCAAATTAATTTAGGGTGTCATAGTTTTGGCCATCAATTTTTTTCAGCTCATATGCCTAGTTGAAAGGTCTAACCAAAACGCAAGAAAAATGGCCTAACGAGAAACTGAACAAAACCAATGAAGCTCACAGAGATGACCAAATAAGGTTGTATAAATTTGATCACCGGTACTTTACCTGATTTCCTCTTTGAACCTTCAGTACTTGAACTAGGGACTTCTCGATAAACAAATACATAAGAATTGTCTGGAGATAAAAAAAGGAAAAATATTATGAGATTAATAGAAAGGAAAATATATAAATATTAAAAGATGGAATAAGTACTAAACAAGCATTTATATGTATGCATGTTACATGAATTTTAATCTAAAATCCAGAATTAAAATTTTGGCTCTTAAATTTTAAATTATTAAATTTATTCTTGATATTCCAAAATGAGGAAGATAGAGTTTTCTTCATAAATGTAGAAGGATACATAAGATGTGTATTATATTCTTTTAATGGTCAGAATTTACTTTTTTTTTCTTTAAAAGAAATGAAATATGCAAAAAAAAAATTAATAATCCATATATACAGTCATTATAAAGGTATAAAATGTGAATTTATTAAGATATGTGTGCATATATATATATATATATATATATATAGAGAGAGAGAGAGAGAGAGAGAGAGTGACTCTCTGCAGAGAGAGAGAGAGAGAGAGAGAGAGAGTTTCCCTGGTCTATAATTAATGCACAATTTAAATATCACAAGCCCCTTCTCAAAATCATTTATTTCTAGTTGCATAATGTTCTTTTCATTTTTGCTGAATAATAGTCTTGCAATTATTTCCACTCTCACACCAAAATTTTCAATTTTTTTCTCCCTTACTTTTCTATCATAAGCTCTTTTTCTTTAGCTTTTTCACACATAAAAAGAGATAAAATAATCCTTGATAAAAAATAACATGCAGTCGTGGTTAACATAAACAATTGCAAGGTGGCTGTTTAGATACATAGATTTGTGTTTAAGATTTATGTCATTCATCATTATCAAAGCCTATCCAAGAGCTTCTAATTAGTAGAACACTTGATTTGGAACAGCATGAGGACTCACAAACATATGTAATATTGCATCCTTCACTAAAAACATAAGTATTGTTGCATTGAAGAGGTACCAAAAAAAAACCTTAGATTTTTTATTTTTTAGTTATACACCATTTGCAATTAATATGTTCCTTATTAGAGTCCATTATTGCGATTTGCTTTATTCTGTTCTGGCTATTCCAAGCAAGAATGGTGGGAGGGACAATTTTTTAATACAATTTTAAGAAAAATTATGCATGTAAATTTTAAAGAATTCATAATATTATAAAAAATTGAAATTAAAAAAATAAAAATGTACTTATAAAAACATGCACTTAATAAAATGATATATTTAAATAAGTTAAAGCTCTCAAAAGAGTCTGAATATTAAGACAATTAATCACTAACAAACTATTGAAAAGTAGCTAAAGCATGAATATATGAAAAATTATGATAGTTTCTATAAGCATAAATATAGAAAAATAATTGATGTGTAATTATGTTAAAAATATTATTGAAAATATGTCAATATTTTTAAAAAATTATTTACTCTGACACAAATTGAATCTACTTTAGGCATGCATGCTTAAGTGTCTTTGTTCACATTTTAGTTATATATATATATATATATATATATTAACCATTTGATTCCCATGCATATGCAGGGAGCTTGCTAGTATTATATTTATATTCATCTTAAATTATAGTAGAAAAAAAACAAGGGTTTAGAAGGAATTAAACAAGATATAAGCATATTGATGAAGAGAAATTATTAAGTACCATGAACAAATATGGAAAAAGAAAAACTAAAATAAAACTTCAAAGTTTAAATAAGTAAAGAAATATTTTGCAATTCTCAACCAATTATCTAATTTTAAAAAAACTAAGTTAGGCCTCTTTAGATTTGAGCCTGTGACAAGAGACATGGATCAATCCAATGACTTAATAAACCGGTAGAAGCTTATTGGAAAGAAAAGTGCGATTGGTGTGTGATTAGTGACCACAAAAGAAAAAAAAAAGAAAGAACGGTAAATAAAAGAAGGACAAAAACAAAAATAAAGTTCAAAAAAGTAAAAAATATGCTAGTATGACATGTAAGTTGATCAATAAAAAAATAAATAAATATGTGGATAAAGTAAAAGATTTATACTACATTGATTTTAATGATGGTTAAGCAAGAAGTTGAACAAACTTCAAGAAAATAGTGCAAGAACAAAAATTAAGTATATCACATCATCTAGAGCAGAAGGTGCTCTAAATTTACCACCGAGTGGGGGCGAGACAAAGGAAACGATATCTCCATGTGTCAATCTGACTTTAGAACTTCTTCTAAGCTTTACCCAGTTAACGTAAGTCCCATTGGTGCTGCCAAACCACTAAAAATCAAACAAGTGTGACACCATAAAGACCAATAACAAACACAAATTACTAGATTTTGGCAATTAACCTTGTGTCTCTCAAATACACTGCGAAGGGGGTGCTAGAATCTGCTTTTCCATCTGTATGAGTTTCTCTTTCTCTATAAATTTTGCAATGATTTGCACTAATAGAGATGGAATTGATCTGGAAACGATCTTCTACACAGCGGCCAATGCAATGCTCATCTTCAGTCAAAAGCATATTCACTCCCTTTAATTTTTCCCAACAGCAACGCGAAATTTCACAAAAAGGATCTTTTCAGTAAGAAAAGCCAACAATGCAAGTAAACTTCACAGTAAAAGAGTATACACATATGAAGAAGAATGTCATTCTTCTATTTGTTCTTATTCGGTTTGCTGCATGAGATTGAAGGATGTGCATTTACACGCTGGTACTCTATCCTATATGGAATAGAAAAAATAAAGAATGATCGCTACAAGACTATACTTTTTCTAAATTTATGTGCCAGAGAAAGAAAATGGCTTTTTTATTGCTTCTTAAAGCAGCTTTCTAGTTCAAAAATTAAAACTTTTATACTAGAAATTTGTTTTAGGAAGCAGTAAGAAAGCAGTCCCAAATGAAACCTAAGTCATCTTTTTCTCTTCTAAATAGTGGATAACCCCACATTTTAAACATTCATTATTTTACAACAAAATGTTAATCCAAAAAGCAGTCATCATAAGCTATATCGCTTAAACCACGGTCCACAGACCAATACTAATTGTGACAGGAACAAAAATAACAATAATGGGGTTCACCGGTCTGAGAAGAAAGCTAATAACTTGATATTGCCAGAGTAAACAAAACTTAAAAACAAAAGGGAATGAAGTCAAGCATGAAATCATAAAAAATCCAAATTTCAAATTTCATAGACCAACCCTATTCAACAATTCAACGTAAGACGTGAATGACACAGTGCAGTCAATGATATCCAATAATGGATAATCAATTAATTAATATAATTCCACAGATTCAGCGAGTAAACTTTCTTAAACACAATTCCCACCATAAGACTAGGTTCAAAAACAAAAGACATCCTTCCAATTCATCAATATAATCGGCACGTTAGCACTTAGCAATAAACTACCCGCACTATTTAATGTTCTAAGTCCCAAAGAAACTAAGTCAGGATAAAATAAAACTTTCAAAATTCATAGGCCAACACTTTTCATCCCAAGACATAAGTGGCACTGAGCACACACGATATACAATAATGGATAATCAATTCAATTCCTGCACTGAGCGATTATACTTCAACTTCCGATCAGAAAAAAATTAGGTTAGCAAACAACAGACTTTCTTCCAATTCATCAAGATCATTGACAGGCTAGCAATAAAATACCAGTTCCCATTAACCTTCCAAGTCCCTAAGAAAGACAACTCAGCATATGCATTGATAGCCCTAGGCCATACGCAGGAGAGCGGCGTTGGGAGGCCTGGGTTTAAGGCGAGGGTTTTAGGGTTACGAACCGGTTTTGGTGGGAGAAGATTGGTGGCGAGCAATTAAAATGGATGAAAAGGAGTGACCTGAGGACGGAACCGAGCGTTCTTGGAGATGGCGGTAAGGACGGCCCAGACGCCGGGTTCGGGGTTGGGCAGAGGTTGATCGGAGATGACGCGGGCAACAGCCCTCATCTCTTCTTGGGGATTCGCAGTCGGCTTTGGGATCGGAGAGCTCGCCACGGATAACTCGCCATTGTTGGGCTCCAGGGCTCGATCGACAGGGATTTCAACCGCCATTGCCTGCCGCTCTCCTCTCTCCCGCGTTTAGAGCCCAGCCTGTGCAAACTGCTGTTTAATGCTGCCTCGAATATTGTCAGTTGCCACACCTTACGGTTGATTTTTTTGGGTACATGTTTAAGTTTATAACCTTATATCATATTATTTATATATCTAATATTTAAAATTTTAGTAGTTTATATCTATCTCTTATAAATTACATATGAATATGAAAATAAAATATTAAAAATTATAAGATGATAAGAATAAAATATATAAATTACATATTTAATATCAAAATTATTTATGGATGATAAATAAAAATATTAAAATTTTAGATATTATATATATAAATAATATGATATAAAATCATTTGTGGGGGGTTGGAGGGCAAGGGAATAATTATTAGGTCAGGTGAGCAAACGTAGCTCTACGTTCGGACGTCAATAACATGTCGTCACGTGCTCTTACTCTTTACCACGCAGCCCGACGACTTGACCCGGGATTGCTATGTTCGCTTATTGCTCGGTATTGCTCGGTATTGCTTATAGATAATGAAAAATATCACTCTGCCGGTAACCAATACCGAGAAATATCGGTATTGCTCGGTATTGATCTTCACATAATGGTATTTCTTGTTATTGCCGAGCAAAATAGACCAATACCGAGCAAATACCGAGCAATACCTGGCAACACGCGAACATAGCAATCTCGGCTTCGTTCCAGGTCGAGGTAAATAGTGAGAACACGTAACACTATTTAACTGGCGTCCGAACTCAGAGCTACGTCAGGTGACCGGATCGAATAAAAGTTCAGGGCAAGGGGGGCACATGCTTTCCCTAAGGTTGGCTGGTTCTTCGCAATGGTGATTAGTTTGCAGTTCGAGGAATTTTAATACCATTTGTTTAGATGACTTCTAGAACACTTTTGAAGCATTTGTCTGGTTTGATTAATGCATAAAATTAACAAACTATAAACTTGTTGATGGCAAGCAATGAATCAATTGAAATAGCTTAGTAAATTTTCTATGCAAATAAGTCCAAATTTATTTATAATCAAGTTTTGATTCTGAATTTAGCATCAATAGATGGCTAAAATTGCTTGAACTATGAGAATATTTATTATAAAATTGATTGGCTACCTTTTCGTTCCAAATCTTTTTTTTTTGGTTGATTTTATATTTAATATTCTTCATTCTTGAATAATATTAGAAAAATAAAAATAAAAATTGTTTGTACTAGCCCCAAACCTGAATGTAAAAAGTTGAGGGAAATTAAAAAAAAAAATTAATTTATGCCCCTAAATACATTTTCTTGCTATATGCATGTAAATCCTCCTTTTTTTTAGTACTTTATTTTACTATTACTTTATAAGATTTATAAAAATGAGTCGAAAACCTTAACCCGAATCCGACCCGGTTCAAGTTCGAGTCAACACGAACCCGAAATTTTTGGATCGGATTCGAGTCGTATTTTTGAGTCATGTCCAATATTGACAACCCTACTTTATCGGATAGTTTATATTGATTCAATTGATAATATATAATGTCAAAATTAGTAGATCTTGGACTCATTGGCTTTTTCTCATTGATATGCTCAATTTGATTATGGGCATGCAAAATTTGAAAACCATTTGATGATCCAAATAATATTTCAAAATATTTAATTATATTTCAAGTGTTTGATCTGGACTACATGTGGGTTACTTTCATCAATAATTCATAACGATTACCAGTTGATTAAAATATTGTTTTCTTTTTTTTTTGCCCGAAGCTTTAATCCCATTTGATTATTTTTATTTTTTATTTTTTTGGTTAAAGCAATTTTAAACAAAACAAGGTAGTCGACGGTCAATGGAAAACGATTTTTAAATAAATTAAAGAGAGATTTAAATACACACCATAAAATTTAAATTATTTACATATCCAGTAATTAAAATTTATTTAATTGTTTAAATAATATATTAAAATCCAAATAGGGCCTTGCCGTTTGTTCTGCTTTGCAACTCTATTGGGAACCAAATCAAGTCCTAAAGACAAACCTGAAATCCTCAACCGACCGTTAGAAGGAAAGAAAATAGTTCATACACATCACTACAATTTCTTCCGCTAACTGAGATGAAAAGTTACAGCAGAAAAGGAATGTGGCTACCAATACCAGATATTCTGACATTTGGAACGATAGAAAGAGCTGGTTGTTTTTTATTGAAGTGCTATAAACTTATTGGAAATCACTTTTCAAGAAGTTATGGGGGTTGTTTGGAAAATAGTTCTATGAAATGTTATGGCTGATTGATTGTTTCAAAGATGACTAGGCCATGCAGGCACAATTTCGTATTAAATAAGCTCCACTCATATTGGTTCTTGAAATGAATGGAAGCAAATTATATATGATCACTAGGGATGAAGTTATAACATCTTATTGATGTAAAACTTGAAGGAACTTAAAAGAACTATCAATATATGGTTCGTTTGTGACGGCTTTTTTACTGCTTCTTAAAACAATTTTCTAGTATAAAGTTTGTAACTTTTAAACTAGAAAGCAGTTTTAAGAAGCAATAAAAAAGCCGTCTCAAACGAAACCATACAGTGTTAACTATATGATCAATAGACAAATAGCAATTACAAACATACATTTCATTATCATAATTACTCAACTATTGTTTTGCATTTTTACAAGTACAAATAGAGAAGGAATTAAACGATGTTTGCACTAAAACTAAAGTTTAGTATAGCATAATTACAAATATTCTTAAACAAATATATATTTTGTTTATACTTTAAAACAAATCATATGTTTTTTTTTCTTATCAGAGAGGCATTATTCTACAAACTACAAATAGATATTTATAACAGTATAAGAATAAGAATAAATTTTAATGTCCATGCATAATAGCAAAGTTATGTTACATAGATTAATAAAGAAAATATATCTTTGTATGATTATGACATCAAGGCTGATAATTTAATTTTATTCTAAAAAAAAATACAATTGGACAAGCCTCAGGCCAAGCTTAGGCTTTGCCCTGCAAAATCAGAATCAATTTGGTATCAAACTTCCAAGTGAGGGAGAAGTTGTAATTCCATTCATCACTATCATTAGCCTTATCCTACCCTGAATGAAACAACACTGGAAAATATTGGTTTAACAAAAATTATAGTATTACTTGCTAACACTTGCTCGATTCATTGTTTAGTGCAATGTCAATAGTAGCTTTCAGTCAAAGAGTTGTTAAAAAAAAAAAAAATTTTTAAAAAAAAAAAAAAAATCAAGGCACAAAAAAAAAAGATAAAAAAGGACTCAAAAACAAAAACTATGTCACTATTTCAACTTGAACTGAATGTCTTTACCTCTTATGAGCAACCTACAGGCTACATCATATATACATACGCTCAGACAGCTTCCATGCCCTCTCCCTATTGCTAACCTTCAATAATTCATATCGACACATCTACTTTAAGTGTTGATGATTTTGATACTCACATAAAAAATATAGCACACCTGCATGTCACTTAATCTGACACTAATGAAAGTTCTAGCAACTAAAATGCCTTTGATGGCGGAACTAAAATGACTTTAATGGTGCAACCATAAAACTCTCTCATAAGGGTTGTAATCCTTGGAATAGGAGTGATATTGAGCGAAGTTTAAGTGATCAACCCAAATTCAAAATCAAATCAATTCAAATTCAATTTAAGTTTCACTTTGAGTTAATTTTCAAGTTGATTCAACTCAAGGCTCTTAAACAAATATATTCAACTTTGTATGCATAGATATCTTATAATTATATTTAAAAAATTTCTATTTAACAAACATAATAAACTTTGTATGCACATATATAAGATTTGTATCATATATACATACGCTCACACAAATTTTTATGCATATACATAATCAACTATGTAGAAATGAAAGAGGAAGAATCCTTACACAGGCTCATGAAAGAAAAGCATTTTAATATCTTGGTGAGCACACAGCAGCGAGATGAGCTTCATTGTCTCTAAAATTCTTGTTGCCAGAAAATGCCCCTTTATTAAGAATGTTTTAATCTTCCAATCAAATGTGGAGAACTGCGCCATACTAATTTTAAGATCCATCTTGGACCATCATGCGCAAATGAAGATGAATGAGTAAATGGACATTTGAACTCTAAGATAAGGATTGGAGGCAATTTTAGCCAAACAACTGTATTTAGGTTGATGCTCAGAGATCAACCTTGACGGTGATTTGAATTGTACGTCGGTTTGGCCCGTAAGCCTCATGATTGGTGTCAATGAGATGTGCTTCATCAATGTCAATGTGTGAGTAGATACAAATCTTAACGTGATCAAGTGGTGCGGGAGCTATTTTTTAGTTTCATAATGATTACCCCCAATTTTTAGATATAAAAAGTACAAAAAAGCTTCATTGCCCCATTTATTATACTTAGTAAAAAGTATAATAAATTATATTTTTATTAGATTTAAATGAGAATTTGACTCTTAATAAGACAAAATAGAGAAAAAAGATTCATGTAGCCGACCCAACATAATGGGATAAATGCATGATATTGTTTTTATTGTTGTTTTGCTCGATTATAACTAGAACTCCTAGTAACCCAAATAATAACCTAAATGTAGGAAAATGGTCATATATATTGAAGCAACCTTTGTGTGGTGCCTGGAACAATTTCCAAAGCAAATGTTAACAGTGGATTGATACTTTCATGATCAACAATTGATTCAATTGAAGCCAATTTGGCAAAAGGGTATACCACAAGTGGCTTACAAATGGATGTTATGTGTACCATCTCTTGTATGTTGATAACATGTGGATTCCATGTCTTGTATGTTGATAACATGTGGATTCTGGTCAGTGACATATCATAGGTTTAGACTTTGAAAGCTGATTTGAGAATTAAAATTCAAGTTAAAAGATCTTGGAGCGAGAAGGTAGATGTAAAGGATAGAGATTGTACGAGATAGAAATGAATTCATTTTTCTTTAATTCAATAGAAATATGTTAAGGAGGTCTTTCTTGCAAGCAACAAAGCCTAACAATTCTCTCTATACTAGTCATTTCTTGGTTGTCAACAGCTTCCCCTTCTTTGTCTACAATAGAAGCATATGACTAGAGTATATTATGCATGTGCAACTAGAAGCATTACGAAACCTATAGTGAACAACTTTCATCAACAGGTACATGGAAAGCATAGCAAGGCTCATGTGAAAGAAATGAAATAGATTTTGAACTATTAACAAGGAAACACATTATTGTTTGATGAGTGGTTGTGGCAATTTTTTTAAAGTGATGATATTTTCTGGTTCTGATTAGGTCAGTGACCTTGATAAATATAAGTCATAAAACGAGCAGATCTTCACTTTCACAAGGGATGCCTTAAGTATCAAGCAAAACAAAAACACAAAAGGAGTTCCATAAATTGAAAGGCTTCCTTTAGCTTGCAGTAGTTTTTTTTTTTCCCCGTAAAGAAAGTAAATGATACTGATTGAAGCTGACAAAAAGGTAATTAGATTAATAGGTTTGCATGGCTGGAAGATTGGATTTAGACTAAGATTGTTCAGTGGATTAAGGAGATAATTAGAGCGTTATTCACCTAGCCCATGATCAAATAAATCATGAGAGAACCAAACATATTGACTTATGGTGTCATTTCATCAAAGCAAAAGTTTAAGATGATAAAAATTTAAGTTCAAAATTTTGCTGACACGTTTATAAATATGATCCTGATCCACAAGTTCATTCCATTCCTGAAAATTGTTAGTATTTGCAATTTCTGATGACCAATAAGGTTTTAAATGATGCGAAGGCTATGCTGACCAATGAATTGACTATGGTAATTGACTTTGCCTTTATTTGAGAGGGAGGATATTACAAAAGTGGAGAAATTATAAGGGTTATATCAAGCACCAAGGTGTAAAAGTGGAAGTAAAAAATAATGAGAGCAATGGGCGTGGCTTATCATTTTTATCTATGATTTCCATTGGTTCTTTACTGGGAGAGAAAAGCAAATAAAAAATGATTAGCAATCATTCTTTCATTGGTCTCTTTATTTTCTTTTTTTTTTTAGGGTATTTATTATTTCGTGCCAGCATAACTTCTCCTAGACAGGAGAAATTATTAGGTGCGGACACCGGACGGAGAGAACCGTACAGTTTACTCTCTCTCTACAGTAAAAGCGCAATTAAAACGCAGCTACTACAGCAACTGTGCTTTTAATGTTGACAGAGAGAAATTCAGATGATTCTTTGTGTCCTATGTCCGCACCTAATAATTTTCCCCTAGACAAACCCTATCTTTCTTTGTGAAACCAAGAAGCATTTGGGCTGCTTCTCATAACAGCATGGCATTATAGAAGAAATGAACTAAAAGCGTGAATTCTGAATTAGCCAGCATCAATATTAACGAGTGAATTTCCAAGGAATTTCAGAAAAACCTTCCCGTAGAGCACATACTACAATGACCTAAGTTATGCCGCATCTGAAGCACAGAATTTACCACAGAGTGAAAAATCAAGACGCTTATAGGTCAAATTTATCATTAAGTGCATCAGTTGAGATGAACCCCAAGGTGTTGCCAAAGAAAAAGAGTCGTCTTCTATAGCCATTTCAAAGAAAGCAGTAAAAACCTAAAGAAAATCCGGAAATTCCTTTTCTTTTCAAAATCACTATCTTAAAGAATGCGAAACCAAAATACACAATCAGATGATATTATCTAACAGCGAACATTAACTTAATGGAACCAAAGATGACATAATTATCAGACAAGTTGAAGAAGCTTTGGATAATGGAGCACAAAAAGGTTTGATTGGAAGCGTACCCGAGAATGAAGATGAGGGGAAAGATAATGACGCTGATGGGAGCCCGAGGAAAGATGTGCGAAGAAGAGAGGAAGTACGCACAGGTGCCATTGAGACGGCAAGATGGCTTCTTTTATCAATACTAAGGTTGTTTCCTGCAAGAAATGAGAGGGAAGCAATTGGAGCAAGCGAAAGCGCCATGGCCCTTTCCGTTCCTGTTTCTTCCTTCCTAAAAGCGTCTTCCTGGCCACGGGACGCAGTCACGCAGTAGATCAGTAGCGAAATTGCAAGATAAGGTAGCCCGTGTCTGGATCGAGGGCGCAACCACCAGAGAGATATTACAGATCTTTTAATTAAAAGCAATATATATATATCCCTTAATATTAAAAAATTTCTAAGAAAAAGATATTTGAAAAATCACTCTATTCCAAAAAAAAAAAAACACCTTTAATTAGAGAAATTATTATGTACGGAGTTTGGACGGAGAGAATTATTCGAATTTGCTGTGTATTTACTTAGTAATTGCTCCTTAACTAAGAGTCATGATCAAAATTATTTCGAAGAACACTCAAATATGATTTGAATAAAATTCTATTGAGATAGGAATCATGTTCAACAAAAATTCAAAATTTATTGCAATCATATTCGAATCTTGAACATGATTCAAATAAAATTTGAACATAACTCCATAAGGATTTGAATACAACTTTTACATGATTTGTATAAAATCGAATAATCTTCGAATATAATTCAAATAAGATTTGAACATTTATCATCCATATTATTTGAATATGATTCTAATATGGTAGATGTAACAAAGTACGATCTAAAACTTGAATAGATCAAACTATAATGTTAACACATCAAGATTGCAATCACAAGATACATAGCATAATGTATTACTAATATAACAAAGAGTAAACTAATAATCATAACAAATTGATATAATCATCAAAATGACAAACATTATATTATTGCACAACTATTCAATAACAGAACTTCAAGAACTTCAATTGATCAAAGCTGTTACATATTTTTACTATAAGAAGAAAAGTTAAAAACTTTATGAAGGTGATAGGCACTTGGCTTTATGAGTGACTCAATTATGATCTCTCGTTTCAGAAGTTTTATTTGGTCCGGTCGACCGAATGAGAGAAACATTCGGTCGCAGGCAAAATCCCGCTGTACCGAGGTGTACCGAGTTTTTTCGAAAAACTCGGTACACCTCGATACAGCGGGATTTTGCCTGCGATCGGATGTTTCTCTGCATCCGGTCGGAGGACGTAATAATTGTTCCATACATCGGCTATAGCTACATTGGAACCACCTTTTCTCCCACTTTCAAAACCTCTTTTTTTATTATTATGTTTACTCTTAGGCTTCATTAATAAGGATAATCAATACCTCTCGTTATTTCATTTGAAATCTATCAATTATCTTCATTTCTTATTAGATATATATTTCAACATGTGCGGGTTGTATTGCCGCAGAATCAAATTTGAAATAATTGTAATAGGCTTAACATCTAAGATACAAGTGCATCATGCTTCAAGGATTTCGACCTCAAACATGCTTGTGTGTATATTTTCTTAATTTAATAATATTTTATATGTAATAGTTGAAGCATGTACCATGTTTAGCAAATATTAAAAGTCAAAAGCTAGCAGTCATATGTTTAGCAAAAATGTTTATATGAAGGACATTTTATAGCAATGTTCTTCAAATAGTTAGCTTATAAATCATTATAAAAAACTCAAAATACCAAATGAAGTACAAGTTTCAAGCATAATTTTCTATTAATTCATTAATGAATGTATATTTTTCAATAAAATTTCCCCCAATTTTCTCTATTATTATATTAATTTCAGCATCCTATAACTTTGATCCATCTACATGATCATATTATGTATATAGAAAATTGAAAATCGGAGAGGTAGTTCGAACATGATTTGAACAAGATTCAAAATTATTTTTTTCGACATCATATATTGTTTGATCTTTTTTGGGGGGACATTTATGTCAATTCAGACAAACACATACACACAACATATAAGCAAGCTGACTCGGACTCAAGACCTTTTGATTGATAACTAAAGCTCCCAACCAACAGACCAAAGTGAGCTACATTATTCTTTGATCATTCAACACTAATTTGTATAAAATGTTTGAACATTATTCAAACATAAATAAAAATCTATATATGAGATTCAATCCTTGTTCATTTTTTTAACATAGAATTCTCTTTTTATCCTCTTCCTCTTAAACTAGGAATGATAGAGTTGGAGTGGAGATAACTATATTAAAACTTATAATGACAAAATATGAATATTAATCTTTTGTTTATTTATGCTTCATTTGAGACTTTTTTTTCACTATTTTAAAGAAATTTTTGCACTAAAAATTTGTTTTAGAAATCAGCAACAAAAAAACCCCAAATAAAACCTTAAAGGGGTTAGCGATTAAACTTTATGGAAGAGAGATCACTTAAATTCCAAGAGAAATAATGAGAAATATTACTTTGAAGACAACAACAATGCTTGGAAGAGAGATATTCTAGCAATAATCTTGTTGGAATATTTGAATTATTACTAAAGACTATGCACTATATTACAATTACAAGGGTAATTTTGTTTAAAATGAATTTTTAGATATATATTTTTTCTAAATTAAATTTAGATCATGAAAAGCATAAGTAGAGGAATAACTATGATTTGGAGATTTTGCATTAAATATGATGATTTGTCACCTATTGATTGAAGTAAAAGATTATTTTTCTAGATTATAAATTTGAGCCACACACAACAATTTATTGTTGGCCATTATATAAAAAAAGATTATGAATTAAGGTCGATGAAAGCACATTAATTGTCAAAGATTATTAAGGATTTGTTTGGAATAACTTCCTTTCTATTTCTCTTTTCAGGTTACAATCACAATTTCTATTTGATTGGTATATAATTTCAAAAAAATTATATGCTTAAAATTATTTTTTTACAACAACTTCACAAAAATGTTGCTTTCCATACAAAAGTTTTACAACAATCTTTACAAAAAAATACAGTCATCTAAAACAGATCCTAAATCTTTATCATCTTCAAATTATTTGGAAATTAGCAAATCTCACAACGAGCATAGCCAATCTAATATGGTTGTTTAATTGGTTGAAAAAAATAATGTAAAATTGATACTTTGGAGTTATTTGGATGAGTGAAAAGTAAATGCAAGTGATTATTTTTTTTATTTGATTTTAAGTTCAGCGGTGGTGGCCGGCAACGAGTGTTGGCAGACGGCGATGGTGGTGGTTGGCTGTAATCGTCAGCTGCAACGGCGAAGACAGGTGAAGGCTAGCGACAGAGGTCAAATAAGCTTGCTTGTGATGTAAATGATTTTCACTTAATATTGTGCTAGTTTAGTTGACCTCAAAAATAAAGTAAAATAATTTACATTACATTTACTCTGCATTCCTTTTTCTTCCAAGCAAGTATAAATATTTTCAAAATCCCTGTATTTATAATACTTTACACCCATTTTACTTTTAACTAAACAACCCCTAAATCTTAGATGAAAAAAAAGGTAGAATATTTAATTTGTAGTTGTAGCTAATATATACCATGGGACTCACACATGCGCAGATCGAACAAGTGAGTAAGACATCGATCCATCACAATTAGATCAAGCGAATTATTTGTATTGATTTCAAACCACTCTTAATTTGAGTTTAATATTTGTTAATTAATAAAATTTTAGCTCGAGTTTAACTCAATTCTACAAATTCAAGCTGACTTATTTATTATGAAAAACTAAATACTCTTCTAATAAAATAATAAATAATGACATGAAATAATAAAAATATATAATAATTTTTTTCCTTAAGTATATTTTCTAATATAATTTTTAATTAAATTTTAAATTAAAAAACTTTAAATGAGCCTTAATAAACTCTGCTTATTATCTCGTCAGCCCACCCGAGTCGAGCCCAAATAGACCCACTGAGTAGGCTTCACTACCCCTAAACTAAGCCAGTAAAGCTGAGCACTATTTTGCTCTCCCTTCCCAGTGATCTACGGCCAAGCTAACGGGTTTAGCCTAACAAACTGTGCAAAGCTTACGACTTCAGCAAGCACAAATATAATTTCTATTTATGAAACCAACAATACAAAATATTCAAGACAAAAGAGTTAGGAATTGGGAGTTAAATTCAGATAAACTCCATACAGATAGCTCCCTTATGCAGCAAATGGCAACAATCGAAAGAACACAAATCCCAATTACAAAATCAGCCAGACATCCACTTGGGACCGCAACAGCAAATAAAAAAGTTCAGATTTTTGCCAGAGAAATGCTTATGCTAGCTCTGACCCATTCATGGCGCACCAAGCAATGCTCAGGTAGGCAGTGCTAGCACTCGACACAAGCACAAGCAGCACGGCGTAAGCCACGCGGGAGATCCGACCCACGAGACCACTCGTCGGCTCCGATGTCGTAGACGAGAAGTGCCGCCTCCAAGCCCCTCGACCTTCTGCCCAGATCTCCCCCATGGCTCGCGGAGGCGTGGACGAGCGCCGCCAGCTTCGTATCGCCAATACTCGTACACGAGAAATGCACTGCGCCGCCGAGCCGGAGTTGCCAGGCCAAAGGAGGCGGTTCAAGTCGCGTCCAATCCCCTCCTCGCCGTCCCTTCCCGTCCCACCGCCAGAACGAAAGCTCCACAGCGTGGCTGGCGAGGACGTAGACGTGCGCCCCCGACCCGCACGCCCCCACTACGCAGCCACCGCCCGGCACCACCGCTCGCACCCGCAGCCACATCCCGGCCCTCACGTGGTATGCATCCATCGAGCCCGCACACGTGCGTGCGCCCCGCGACTCTTCCTCTTCCTCCATCCGGCTTCCCACACGTAGACCTCCAATCACATAGAAAATCTCACCGGCGGCAGCCCCGACACAGCCGTAGCGCCGTCTTGGAGCCTCCGCAACCACCCGCCACTCATCCACGTCCGGATTATACTCTTCCACGGCGGATGTGCGGGTAGCGCCTCCCGATACATAGATCCGACAGCCGATCACAGCCGCCGCGAACTTCTTGCGAGGGAAGATGGTCGGCGCACGGAAGGTGACGGCGCCGGTCAAAGAGTCGTATCGCAGAGTGGCCCCACGACCGATAATGTATATGGCACGGCCCATGGCAGCGAGGCGTGGTTGGGAGAAGGCGCCTGCGGCGAGATCAGGAGAAAATGAAATGGGGGTGGCGAAGGGATTCCAGGAGGGATCGAGGTGGGCGGGAAAGGGGACGGGGAGGGCGGCAGAAGTGATGAAGCCGAGATCAGAAACGCAAATGGCGAATAGGGTGCGGCGTAGTCGGCCGCGGGAACGGCGGAGATCATGAAAAGCCGGGTTTTCAAGAAGGAGCGCGAAGCGACGGCACACAAGGGATAGGGAGGGGAGGGAAGAGAGAGGAACCCTGGAGAGGCACTCGAAGAGGAGATCGTCGGGGAGGGTGAAGATAGGGGCATACAGACAGGAAGCGTCGGAGGAAATGAATTCATTATGGTGGCGGTGGTTGGCCACCGGCGATCGGGCTATTTCCCGGCAGGAATCGGCTATGCATGACTTGACCAGCCAAGAGAAGCCGCGAGACTCGCCCATTGCGAGATCGAGAATATCGGGAGTGGATTGGCGAGTGGGGGAAGAAGCCGAAAAAAAGCACTAAAGCAGGAAGTGCTTTCTCTTTTGACCACGATTCCTCAGGAAAGAGTTAGCGCACCGCCGATTTGACCAATAAAAAGGACCAACGCAATGGAACTGAATAGCGCCGTACAAGTTCAGCTTGTGAAGCGCAAGAGCCACAGGACAGCGCTTTTTCCGGCTCGTTGGCGTTCATGTTTTGTCGTCAGGTTGCAGGTTACAACGACGAACCGGCTAAGCACGACTTGACCTGCCCCAACCTGCTGTTTGGCTCTGTTAAAGTTCTCGATTGTAAATATATGACTCGCCGTTTTGGTTTGAATTTTTTCTGGTTTTTAGCCACATACTCCATCTTGGAGCATGAGAGCTGTCATAACTTTGACTCACCTTTAAGCTGGACAAGATTCTCATTGACTCTTGGTTGGGTTGGATTGTCACAACCCAATTCAACCAGAATGGTTTCATCCACAAGAATCCTATACAAAAGTTAATCTCTATTTGTAATGTTTTTTTATACAAAATTATCTCAAAAGTTCTTCCTAACATACTCAAGCACATTATGTTGTCTATAATCAATGCTGATTAGGCTGGTTTCATCCACAATAGAGTTTCCACTGATAATGTGATTCTTGCATCGGAGATCTTAAGGGAGTTCAATAATCACTCTAGAGGCGACCTTTTATGTGCCAGGTTTGACAATAAAAAGGCTTTCGATTTAGTTTTGAGGAGCTTCATTCTTGCTAGAATGGCTTAGAAAGATTTTCCTCATATCTTCATTTTTTGGGTCAAAGCTTTTGATGTCTTCTTCTCCCTTTGCATCGACAGTGGGCTTGAAGTATTTTTTAAGTCTTCATCTGGTTTTACGAAGGGCTGCCCCTTGAGCCCTTATTTGTTATGTTTAGCTATGGATGCTCTATCTTCTCTTATCGACACTTCTAATAATTCTTTTGCTTTCCAAGGGTTTCAAGCTGAAGAGCTTTGCTTGCCCCATCTCCTTTACGCAGATGACTTATTAGTATTTGGGAAAGCAAATGGCCGCAATTGCTCTCATATTAATCAGATTCTAAATGTTTTTGCTAGCCTCTTTATTAACCATGCTAAAAGCTCTCTTTTCCTTTCTCCTAACATCCCTGATCCCTCTTCAATTTGGGAGGTCCTCAACATACAATCAACTTGCAACAAGTTAATTTATATTGGACTCCCCATAGAGTCTAAAAGAGCTTTGATTTCAGACTTTCAGCCTGCAACAAATTAATTCATCTGGGATGGTTGTTGTGGGCAATGGCTTTATATGATCCGGGATATTGGTTCCATTTGTTACTGCATTCTAAGCCCTTGGGGCTAAAGGCCTCCCACCTTTTCCCAGGTCTGTTCGATCGGACATCGAATGTAAAGATACGTCCGGTGTCCCAAAAAATATTTATATGTTGAATGTACACGTGTCTGCGAAATTTTAAGTCAAACGCGTCAAAGTGCAGATAAAACGCAATCAAAGTGCAGCCAAAAAGTGCAGTCAAACTGCAATCAAAGCACAATCCACATGACAATTTTTAATTGAATATCCGGACCTATTTTTAGGTCCGGTGTCCGAATCTAATAATTTCACTCTTTTTGAGTGTTGCTTCTACAACAGGTTTCTCTTTATTCTTATGCTCTTTCTTATTATTAGTCTTTCTTTCTTTTCATCCTTTTCTTTTTTCGCCAATGGCATATATATATATATCATACTTGCAATTTCAATTTCAATTTCACGTTTTAATTTTCTTTTATTAATGGAATTGGTCTAAGACCACTAACGTTTCTAAAAAAAAAAAAGATTAAAATGGATTTTATGCACAGATCTGAAAATTGTATTTTTAAATATAACACTCCAAATTTATTAAAATTAGTTGTGGTCGTAAAGAAAATATCTTTGATATTATGGTTAAAGAAAGAAACTTTTCACTAAAAAATAACACAAAAATACTAGTCAAATAAAATTATAATTATTATTTGAAAAATAAAATACTCACTCAAAAAGATATCCTAAATAGACCCTAAGTAAAATTCATGTATATTAAAATTTATATGCATATGACCTTTATTAACATAATGATATGTCTAATAAATTCATTAAAGTTTAACAGAATGGAATTCGTTCCAGAGTATTTGAATAAAGGCTTAGTTTGGAATGGCTTTCTTACTGCTTTTTCAAAGTAATTTTTTAGTACTTAAAGAAGCAGTAAGAAAGCCGTCCCAAACAAAGCCTAAACTTCAATGTAAGATGGCTGTTGTAATCTATATAGCTAAGATGGCAAACTATGGCAAACAGATTGGACTTTCTTCTCCAGTTGAGCGACATAGTTATCAAGCATGGAGACAACGGCTTCAAAATCTTTAACTTGCTGATCTATTGCATCAATCTGAGAGACATAATCATCAAAGCTACGGCTTTTCTCGTTCAGCTGTTCAACAAAGACTCGTAGACCTGAAGCAACATCACCATATCCACTGTACTCTTTTGCCACCATATCGTTCATTTTTTCTAGAAGCAATAACTGGTTATTTGTTCCCTGAAATATCAAAATATATTGTAAGGTAAGTAGGTAACATCACTGAAACCTAACGAGGTGAAAAGGAAAATGATTTTTCTCAATATTCATTAGAATTTGCATTGAAATTATGTGGATGTAACTTCAAAATTGGATGATATCTTAGGCCACGTTTGAGACGGTTTTCTTACTTCTTTTTAAAATAATTTTTTAGTACAAAAATAAAAAACTGTTTTAAGAAACAGTAAAAAAGCTATCCCAAACGAGGCCTTAGCTTTTGCACCATAGACTATTGGGTTTCTTGATCCAAAGTATAATGAGAAGTAGTGAATGTTGTCCTTTTGAGACAACAATATCTTTAAATTTAGGCTTCGTTTGGGACGACTTTTTTGCTGCTTCTTGAAGCAGCTTTTTTAAAACAAAAATTAAAATTTTTATATTAAAAAACTGCTTTAAGAAGCATAAAGAAAACCGTCTCAAACCAAGCCTTAGTGGGGTGTAATTGTTATGGAGAAAATAAAATTTTAAAGATGATGATCCAATACTTAAATAATACGTTGAGAAAACTTCTCATGAACCACCAAGTGAATCTCAATTGAGAAAATCAACTAGGCAAAAATATTCTAACCAAATGAATTCACAAACTTAGGGTAAAGCCTTACAAATAATATTTTCATTCATTTCTCATGAGTGTTGCAATATGTAGCATATATATTTTGAATAAATCTATTTGAACAACATTCTATACATGTTATTATAGCGTCACTAATTTTCCTTCCTAATAATCTGACAGCAATATTACTCACCCTTCTTAAGGGTCCATTTTTTTACAATTTGTTCAATAAGTCCAACCCAAAACAGTTTATTTTCCATGCTCGCATCTTCAATATATGATACTCACGTCATCTATTTAATGTATACATTTTTCAATCTATCTTTCATAGTTGTTCATATATCTTAGAATTCTCATTTCTACTATGTCCAACTTGACTATTAAGAATTATTTTATGTCCCAACACTCAAATCCATGTAATAAAGCCTAATAGAAATTTTATAAAATTTACTTTGGTCACTATGCAATACTCCCATCACATAAGACTCCTGAGGTGTTTCTCCATTTCAAGCATTCACCATGAACCTTAAAAGCTATATCCTTATCTATGCCCTTATTCTTCTATAGAAAAGATTCAGGATACTTGAACTTATCACCTAGATATCACTTAATATTATAGTAATATTGATAGTGATGAGGACATCAACAAACGTTTACGACGAGTATATCAGCGCAGGAGGAGCAGATCAATGGCCACGATTCACAGTCTTTATTTTGATGCTTAGTTTTATTTTGATATTATGTATTATTTGATATTACCGTTTGTACCCTTACTTTTATTTGTCTTGAGTAGTAGCCCCAGGGGCATGCACGTCATTGTATTTTGTTTTTCTTTAGGCCTATATATTATGGCCTCTTCTATTGTATGAGATTATTGATGAATGAAAATTTCTTTCTGTTGAGATCTCTTTGTGAGTTCGTGAGATTTCCCAAAATCTCTTTGTGAGTTCTTGAGGAGATAGTATTGTGGATCTCTTTGTGAGTTCTTGTGGAAGTGGTGTTCTACGTTTGTAGTTTGATAAATTTCTTTTCCCTACACCAATCCCCTCTTCCCCTACTTAGCCGAAAATTCCCCTTCTCCCCAAAATTTCCCACCCCACCTGCTCCACCGTCAGCCTCCCTTGGCCGGTCCAGCCACCGGCGGCCCTCCCAGCTCCCTGCCGCCTGCCGCCAGGTCCAAGCTCTACCCATGGCCACCCTCCTTGCCGCCGGCCCCCTCTTGGCCCTCTTCCTTTTCAAATTTCGAATTATCCTTTCTTAATTTGCTTTCCTAATTAGGCTTTGTCTATTTAGGAAAGACATTTAAAGGAGTTACAACCTATTTGAAATTCAAACTAATTTCCCTCTCATTCTAATTCTAATTTGGGAGTAATTTCAAATTCAATTAATTATGAAATTAAAATTCAGACTTGAATAGAATTAATTAACCCCTTGTGGTCCCCACATACTTAATTCCAAACCCCTCTCTCTCTCCTCCCCCATATGGCCGGCCCCCCTTCTCCTTTCTTTCTCTCTCCAATCACCACTTAATACCTCATTAATGCCTTTCCCTCCTAAACTCTAATTTCAATTTTCAAAATCTAAATTTGAAATTAAATTTGGATTCTTCTAAGAATCTGAAATTAAACTTCAGATTTATTCCTCCCACAAAATAGCCTCACATCTCCCCTTTCTCCCTCCCAAACCGTGACCCCTTCTCCCCCCTAGCCCACGGCCCAACCCTTTTCCCCTCTCCACCCTTCTTCTCTCTTGGATCTTCCTTCTCGTGCTCCCTCATCCCCATGCTTACAGCGTATGGCCGATCCTAAAGTCGACCACGGTTTCGCATACAAAGAGCAAGGGGAGATCGACATTTTCCTCTCCCCTTTCTACGAACCAGATTGGGAATACGACGTCACCGTTGAACGCTACGTCAACCGTATCGTGTATTGCCTTGCCAGGACCATTGAACTTCAACGACCACGAACCCCGTGGTCCCTCATTGGACGCTCCGCGCCGCCTCCATCTCCGGCTACCTTCCCAACAACGACGTTCCTCAGCTCGTCCTTCCTAGTGGTCACTTCATTTCTAGTGTGGAAGATCTTCCTCCGCTCAACCTAGATCCGTAGAGAGAGAGTAGATCCTCAAGATGAACATCTCATTATTAATTTTTGGATTTGTGTTACAAGCTTTTACATTACTTCGCCTTTGTATTGGATTGAGAGTGTCTTGGTTATTCTTCATGCATTTCTTTGCCTAAGCAAGTGGAAGACTGCGAATTCTTGTAACTTACTTTGAATTGACGCATAATTTTATAAAGGTGAACTTCTATTAAATTCTCTTGTTAATCTTTTGTAACTCCAAGCCTGTATCACATCATATAGATAAGAAAATGATTTCTTGCATAAAAGGACTTAATTTATGTATGTATTATAAAATAAGAAACATCAGAGACCATGCTTTTTTAAATGAACATGCCACCAAAAATAATCTTGATCAGGCACAAATCTTAATGCATATTTGAATTGAAAACTTGTCAAATTAAATTTAGGACCATTCAAACTCCAATTTCGACAAACTTATAGTTCATGCATGCTGCTTATGACCACATGAACATAATTATGAGAATTCTCACATACCTAAAAGGAATTCCTAGAAAAGGACTTTTTTTTCAATAAGGGAGAACTAAGGATATCATTAAAGGATATCATTAAAGTCTACACTGATGCTAATTGGGCAATGTCTATAGTTCATAGAAGACACACTTTTGATTATTATACACATGTATAGAGTAATCTTGTAACCTACAAAGAAAAAAAAATGCCAGTGGCACTAGCAAAACTCAATCATTCACCATTAGGATCAATAAATTAATTTAGCTCAAACTACTAAAAGAACTTCAAGTAACTATTAAGGATCCTCCGATAGTCTATTGTGACAATAAAGCTACTATCAATATTGCTTACAATCTTGTACTTTATGATCAAACTAAATATGTGGATATAAATTGACACTTCATCAAAATAAAAAAATGAGGACATGCGCATTTTATGTATTCCCTCCTCCAAGCTAACCGCTAATATCCATGAAATGCTATAAAAATCGAGAGAAAATCTCGAGACATTTGAAATGGAAGCTTTCAAAATTAATTTCTGGCCAACCAAACTTAGGTTTCTACAAATGGTCAAACTGGACGTCTCGACGAGACAAAACCAAGAATATCAAAAGTGGTCCAATCCTAGCCTGAATGAGCCGAAATAAGCACAGTTAGAAGTTTCAAGTCATTAATTGGATGACCAAACGATATGCAAATTTGGCATGCTTATACTTGAATCGAGTAGCTCGACGAGATGAATCCAACGAGCTCGAGATCGTGTAACTCTGATATCATTAAGGTACTTAAATACTAAAAAATTAATCTACGATCAAGGGAATCAATATAGGCCGTCTGAGAAAGTGGGGGAGTAATGAGTGCTCTAGATTTTATCCATATTTATGGGCATTCCAAAAATCTATAAATAAGCCTCTACTCCCAACACGAAAGAGGGGGATTGGACCCTTGGCTAAAGATTCAAGAGAGCTCTAAAGCTTAAAGAATCTTGGAGCTCCACCCGAGCACCCCCATCGGTAAACCCTAGTTGTCTAACCCCCACAGTCGGACCTCTATTGGTTGCCACTGCCAGACCTTCACCCGACCACTGCCGCCAGACTTTCATAGGCTGACCACCACCAGCAAACCCTCACAGGTTGATTGTCGCTTGACCTCCACAAGGCCACCACCGACGGACTTTTCTAGTAGACCATTAACGTCGAACATTTTGTTAGCCAACCATCGCCATCGGACCACCTGTAATACTTATGGCTATACAACATGGTAAGATTCATTTTTGTACTTCTGTATGTCTTCAAATTTTAATTAGGAAGTCTATAAGTAAAGATTAAAAAGTTTGAAAAATGTAAGAAATAAGAAAAAATTCCTCTAGGAGCACTATAGTGCTATGTCCTGGAGCGCAACGACGCTTCCCTCTTTGTTTGGGAGATAAGAGTTTTTGGAGCACAGTGATGGTGCACATGGAGGAACTGTTCTCTCTATAATTGAGTATTATTTGAGGGAGCATTGCGATGTTGGAGGGGAGTGTTGCAGTGCTAAGCTCTTTGCGTAGGAATATTTGGGATAATCTAGAATATTTCGACAAAGCATTACGACATTGTGTTTGAGAGCCACATGCTGAGCACTAAAGTAAGTTTTTATATATAGAAAAAATTAAATCCATTTCCTATCATTCCTAACCCCCAAGGCTTGTTAGGCTGTTGAATGAGAGAAGAAGATGAGGAGAGAGAAATAGAGGAGAGGAATTCAAAGGCCACAACGTGAGATTGGTCCCTTGGGCCAATTAGGATATCTATTCTATTCGAGGTAGGCTCCTAA